ACCCTTTGCCGAGTGCCCCATCTAAGACACTCGGCAAACAACCAAAATATCTATTTCTAACCGCGTCCAGCGCTCCTCTCCCACCCCTTCTCTCTCCTCCGGCACCCAGCGCTCCTCTCCCACACCAAACGTTACCACCCTCTCTCTCTCTCTCACACACACCAGCTCCTCTCCCTCTCCCCTTCCTCTTCCCCTCCCGGCAGTGCCCCCTCCCCATCGTGCTGCACTCTCCCTTTCCCCTCCCGGCGGCGCCCCCTCCCCTCCCCTCCTCCCTCTAGCACGAACCCGAGGCGGGGATCCAGTGGAAGCGGCGGCCCTCTTCCCTCTAGATCCGGTGGAACCCGAGGTGGCTAGTGGCGGCGGTGGCGGCGCGGCCCTCCTCCCTCTGGATCCGGTGGCTTGTGGCAGCGCCCCCCTCCTCCCTCCGGATCCGGTGGCAGCGCGGCCCTCTTTCCCGTAGCAACAACGACAGAGGATCTGGCGAGCCCGAGGCAGAGCGGATTCGGCGAGTTGGAGGCGCAGTGAGCTCCTCTGGCAGTGGATCGATGTCGGCCATGCCCCCCCAGCGGCGGATCCAGTGCGGACTCGTCCTCTGGCAGTAGATCCAGGCGGTGGCATCCCCCGGCGGTGGATCGAGGTCGAGCACGACTGGATCTAGCGACGGCGATGGTCGCGGATGACGATGTCGCTGTGGCGAGCGGCTCGAGGAGGCGGCTTTGCTGGTGGCGCGGTGGTGGTGCGGCATGGTGGGGCCCTTCCCTTCTTCCCCGGCGTGGTGGCGGCGGTGTGGATGGTGGTGCTGCGGCGTGGTGGGGCCCTCCCTTCTTCCCTGGTGTGCTTTTTTTATTTTTTTGAAAAAATAGTTTGCCGAGTGTTTTTTGGGCACTCGACAACGTCTTTGCCGAGTGCCCGACAGAAAACACTCGGCAAACTAGCGTTTGCCGATACAGGGTTTGCCGAGTGTTGTTTGCCGAGTGTAACTCTAGGCAAATCCTTTGCTGAGTGTTTTTGGGGCTTCGCCGAGTGCTCTGGCACTCGGCAAAGCTCCTGAATCCGGTAGTTAGATGACCACTGTATAAGTTGTCTATTTAGCTGTATGTGTGCGCATTCCTAAAACCTACTGACAGCGTGTTGTCTATGGGTTATACATACACTTAAGTTGGAAATCTAGTACGTCATTAATGTGCCATCTGTTCAATTTTTTTTAATATTAAAATGAATCTAGGTTATAGAGTACACTCTTAGTAAATATAGTGGGATAAACTGCATAAAAAAAATAGAGTGGGATAAACACTCGTTACAGTCATGTATCCTATAAAAATAGAGAGCACTTAAAATTAAATTACCAGTACTAAGCCAAAATGTGCAAAATTAACTTAGCTGGAATTTACAAATTTTAATAATAAGGACTACTAAACCAAATTAAAGTGAATTCTCAAGGTCATTGGACTCTAGTCGGTTAAAGGAGACTTTTGACAGGCTTGATACACTACTAAAATAAATATTTATCCGACGTATTCATGTTACTTAGTGTACGTGGAGGCTGTAGGATGATACTTACATTTACTTAACTGCTGTGTAATTTAGAAACAGATATTACATACCTTATGGTTGTCATTAAATTGCTATGAAAGTTTATATTAGTATCTATATGCATACTCAAGTTGAGGGATATTTTGCTTTATTTTATATAATGACAGTGGTGGTTAATCTAGATACAACTTGGAGGACCTGGTTCGGTTTTACGAGAATATTGGTTTGGATCTTGTCCAAGTGCTCGCTGAAGGACCATCTGCTTCGAAAGTGGATCCTTGGAAGAAATTTGAACATGGAAAAAGTCTATACAATCCTGAGGCCTTAGGTGAACTGGGTACACAAATGTACCTACTAAACAAGTGGTACATGGCGGCGTGTGAACGGGCAGAGACCTTTGTTTCTGTCAGAGTTAGAAACCAATATTACTTCCGTGGCGATGAGGTTATATATGTCGAGTTTTTAGAATTACACCAACTGTGCCACCTGGACTCTCTCGACAAAAGTCTCATTAGCTGCTATTGTCTGTAATTGTGATTATTTTCTACTATTAAAGTGTAAATATATAAAGCTACATGTATATATATAAATTATATATCCTCACACTATATTTTTATATATGCAGATATGAGATGACAGAACTCAGAAAGAGAAAGGATAATGATGTTGGTTTCATTGATCCAAATGTCTTATTCAAATAGCCTAATCCCGCTTTGAATGGAAAGTCAACTCGAGAAAATCTCATGAGGTTCTCAAAGAACCAACAAAACAAGGACATACTCTTCCCCTACAACTTCAAGTGAGTGTTAAATAATTAATGTCGATCATATGGACATTTGTTCAATTATTTGCTTACTAGCTAAGCTATCTCCCATATATATATATATATATATATATATATATATATATATATATATATATATATATATATATATATATATATATATATATATATATATATATATATATATATATATGTTGCCTCTAGTTAATATCGATCATATTTGTGTATAAAAACATATGCAACAATCACTAGATATTGATGGTCATCGATATAGCCAATAGTCGGTTGAGCATCTTAGACTCGTTAAGAAAAGAGCAAACAGAGTATCAAGACATGATAGATATTATCCAAGGGTAATTTGGTCTCTCTAGCAACTATATATACCCCAATCTCTTAACTGCAACAATTATTAAAGGCTAAATTAATTTTTTATTTTATTGGGCGCAGTGTTTGGAAAAGTTTCATTGAGGAACACCACATGAAACATTGCAAAGCGCCACTGGATGTAATCGCACACAAAGTAAGTACTAGCTACATTTATATATATATAATTCAATTAACACCATCCCTGCTTTCAATTCATCGGATCTTTTTCTGGTAAAAGTGGGTTCTGAGGCAAGAACAGGGGACCAAGTACTGCGGATACTATGTTTGCGAGTTTATCATGGCGTACTAAAAAAGAACTCTCAAGAGATCCTCAAAATACGTTATATAAATATATTCATATATTCACAATTTCTTTTATTGCTCATATATATAAGTAATCACGTGACCAACATACACACATATATATATATATATATATTAATACTTTTCCTTTAACTTTTATTGAAGACTCTATGGTTGAAGGAAAAAGTCATACGACATGACCAACTGAAAGCAACTCAAGAGACCATAGCAGGATTTCTTAATGATCAGGTCTTAAACCCCGCCGACGAGTTCTACAATGACATGAACAAAACATGGAAGCCAAACCAGATGGAGTGAATTTGTTATCCCAAAGATATGATAGAATATACAATGCAAGCTTTATTTGTAATATATATATATATATTATATGTACATAAAATAACGTACAATATATGTATATGCATGTAATATATACGTTAGTTTCATACTTTAGTTTGTACAAAATGTTTGAACATTATAAGCGTGTAGAATATGTATATTATTAGCAGCGTAGAATACGTATTCAAAAACATGTTCGAAAACTAAAACAATCATCAATTGAAAATAGAAAAAAAAAGAAAATAAAGAAAACCTTTAGTTCCGGTTGGTAATACCAATCGGGACTAAAGGGCCGGCCCACGTGTCCAAACCGGGAGGCCTCTTTAGCCCCGGTTGGTATTACCAACCTAAAGGAGGAGCCCTTTAGTCCCGGATTCGTGCTCCCGGTTGGGAAACCGGGACTGAAGGGGTTTCTCAACTGGGAGTACAGCTTGTTTCTATACTAGTGATAAGTTGTCTATTTAGCTGTCTGTGTGCGCATTCCTAAAACTTACAGACAGCGTGCTGTCTATGGGTTATACATACCCTTCAGTTGGAAATCTAGTACGTTATTAATGTACCTTTTGTTCAAATTTTTTTAATATTAAAATGAATCTAGGTTATAGAGTACACTCTTAGTGAATATAGTGGGATAAACTGCATAAAAAAAATATAGTGGGATAAACACTCGTTACAGTCATGTAACCTATAAAAACAGAGAGCACTTAAAATTAAATTACGAGTAATGAGCCAAAATGTACAAAATTAATTTAACTGGAATATACAAAATTTAATAATAAGGACTACTAAACCAAATTAAAGTGAATTCTCCAGGTCATTGGATTCTAGTTGGTTACAGGAGACTTTTGACACACTTCATACAATACTAAAATAAATATTTCAACGATGTATTCATGTTACTTAGTGTACATGGAGGCTGTAGGATTATCCTTACATTTACTTAACTGCTGTGTAATTTAGAAACAGATATTGCATACCTTATGGTTGTCATTAAATTGCTATGAAAGTTTATATTAGTATCTATATGCATACTCAAGTTGAGGGATATTTTGCTTTATTTTATATAATGACAGAGGTGGTTAATCTAGATACAACTTGGAGTATTCGTTAGTGATTTCCTTTTAGATGCTAATTTAGAGATTACATTGCATTATCTTTCATAAAGACATATGTGGGTAAATTAAATAGAAATTCATAGATTAATTTAAATAATCCTACAAAATGGTAGAGGTGTTTAATTTATATGCAATTATATATAATTATTTTAAATTGCCTTTCATACATATGTTGGGGCGGGTACATTATTATATTTAAATTTCTTGTAACGGAATCCTTAACTTAAGCATTGATCGGCCTGCTCCCGAATCCCCTCTTGCTTTGCGTCTCGAACTCCAGTCCAAATATCGGTGTCCTAACTCATGCATAGCATGTTGTTGATCTAAACTAAGGAACAAATAACATTAGATATATATTGGGTAAACGGAAACAAGCTAGCACAAGCTGCCCTTATTACATATGGTGGACCATACTCTGATCTGATGACAGGGAGTACAATCTACAGCAGTGGGCCGGTACATATGAAAAACAACTTGGCACATGTAAATTAAAGATTGCAAGATAGACGCACAAACAACATAGACTTTGAATCTTCGCTGGGACGACAGAGTGCAGTTTCTTAGGATGACGAGCGATTTGCCTCCTTCTTGACCCACACGTTGTGCCCATACGGCAGATAGTGGCAGATTGGTCCGGCGCCAGGCTTGGTGCCGAGGACCTTGAAGGAGAAATGCTCGGCGTCCCAGTGGGACGTGTCAGTGTGACAAATCGCGGCAACAGTGACGACAAGGCCACTACCGGCACCCTCCAGCTCCACCATGTACGCCCTCGTCGCGGGTGTGTTATGGCACATGTAGACGGTGTACGGGTAGTTATGGTCGTGGCATGACACGAAGCTCGACCCATCCACCGGGTGTACAGCTCGTACGGTGTACGGTTGCTTAGGTGCCCCTGAACGGGGCAGGTCGGAGGTCATCGGCCGGATGTTGCGGGTGCCAAGCGCCGCCATGGAACCCTCGACCAGGGCTTCCAGCGACGTAGCGCAGAATTTGGCCTCACCTGCCTTTGGTGGCAGGCCACACATGTATAGCGTCTCCTCCATGTTGGCTGCCTGCACGGAGTTCGTGGCGACACCGAGCCGAGCGAGGGCGCTCGGCAGCGAGGACGTCGAGAATGGAATGGAGTCCGCCACATGGCGCGGCAGTAGCCCGAGCGGTGCGCTGGCTGCCAAAGGGAAGTATAAGGTTATCGTCTTACCTACTTGCACTGCCTCCTCACGGAAGAAGAGCCCCTGGGCCAGATACTCGTCAGTGCTGTGGTCACGGACATGGGGTGGCATGGGAGATGAGTCCTTGGTCGGTCTAGAGGGGGAGCGAAGCCCCCACATTAACCAAGTCAGGGAGTAGGCTTCAGCAACCGTATCATCCTTAGATGGCCTCGGAGACGAGTGCTTGGTCGGTCTAGAGGAGGAGCGAAGCCCCCACATTAACCATGCATGTTAGGGAGTACGCTTCAGCAACCGTATCATCCTTTGGTTTGTTTGCAAAGCTGGTCTCTGCACCGTAAAGTATGTAGACCAGCCGTGAGCATCAGCCATAGATAATCATGAATGTTCCAACCTTCTTTTGTTTGATAATCATAGTTTTCAGATATTAATTAATTAAAGCGAGTAATGGACTGACCAGGATGGAGGAGCTTGAGGATGGGGTCCGGGAGCGGGGAATCGGGCAGGACGGTGCGCCAGAACACTTCAGCCTCCGTCAGGACTGCATTGCTACACTGTCCAACCTGAACGCAACACGACAGATTTAAATTGGTGGCCTTATCTATACCTATGCCTAATATTAAAGATCAAAATTCTATCCATTGTTTTTGGTTCACCTCGTCGTCCTAACAACTCCTAGGGTGCATGTGTTTCTGTAGATTTATGATGTATATATACGACCCAACGATCGAGGTGTATGTAGACGGAGCATATAATCATACTAGACCATCTAGGATAGTATATATGCGAAGTATGTAAGTATATATACAATATATGATTATACGTATTTTATGCACTATTATATGCATTAGAAAATATGGGCTCTTCTGAAAAATTTCCAGGTACTAAGATTTTAAGTATCTTAAAATAAGTATATAAACGTAATCAAAACTGACAAATGATTATATACACATAAGCAATATGGTTCATTAAATATCGGAGTAACTACTCCTCGGAATAGAGAAAATGCACCCTAACACACACAGACATACATGTACATATACATATATATATATATATATATATAGAGAGAGAGAGAGAGAGAGAGAGAGAGAGAGAGAGACGTACTGTTCTGTAGCTGGCCACAGAATAAGTTATTTTGTGGCCACTTTGAGTTACGATAATTATTACACTAATTTACGAGATTATGATAACCCTCTCATAAGTGATTTACTATAACATTATGGTAAATATCATCTTAAATTATAGTAACCCATGTATCGTAAATATATATTGTCATTATCGTAAATTGGTATAAACATTATCGTAAAACAAGGTGGCTATAGAATAAGTTATTATGTGGCCAGCTGTAGAATAGTATATATATATATATATATATATATATATATATACAGTATAAATAAATGTATTGTCAAAACATATTTCATAGTTTATCTCATGGACCATTATTTATGGATATTTCTACAAGCTTAATCAAAGCTAAGGAAGTTAGATTTAGCATGAAACTATAAAGACATAATTATTTTGGAATGTCACGAGTAAATGATTACCGCAAGCAGAACAAAGGTGGCGATTATAGCAGAGTGGAGGAGTCGCGCCATAGAAACCAGCCGTGATATTCTGATGACTCTATCCAGCCCCAGATGTTTCGACTAAGCCGGCCAGGGTATGCAGATACTTATAGTAGAACCTTAGAAGGTGTCAAGCTGGTACCGGATGTGATAGTAATTTACCTACCATCTCCTCTCCTAGAAGATGTGTAATATAGAAAGGCTGCCAAGGGGATCGAATCTTAGTGAATGCCTGCTAAGCCAATCTTAATGACGAATGGCTGATAAGGCAATCTTAATGACGAATGGCTGCTAAGGCGATTTTAATATAGAATGGCTGCTAAGCCAATTTTAATATAGAATGGGTGCTAAGTCAATCTTAATGACGAATGGCTGCTAAGGCAATCTTAATATAGAATGGCATGCAGGGGAGCCGCACATTTCGGGAAACTGTGGCTCTACTGATTGCTGGAAGCAGTGCGTTGAGCTCTACTCTAGCGGCCATGTACAAACTCTGAAGCCAAACGCGCCCAGCAATCAGCAGAAAGCCGGCCTGCGCTCTGAATCTGGACACAGCCACGACGAGCTGACTCAGTGTGCACGGTTGACTTCGGCAAATGCATAGGATATGTTGAGTCACGTGCCACGTGGCCTTGCCTTCCACACGAAGAATCCAAGGAAACTCCATTTCAACGATGTCGACTGCCTAAAATCTTTGGTGCACTTTTCTCATGTCACTGCTTAAAAAAGCATTTATAGCAACCCCTTTTTTCTAAGGGGCGGCTCAATTTAAAACCACCTCTAAAAATGGTTCCCAAAATGAATAGCCTCGATCATGAAATGCATTTATAGAGGTGGCTGGTATTTTTAGCCACCTCTACAAATGGCCCTATTTGTTGGGCAGCTCTAGATCGAGCCGCCCCTACAAATCAACTTATAGAGGCGGCTGCATCTAGAACCGCCCCTATAAATGGGCGCCCAACAATAGAATTATATTAACAATTGAATTTTTTCAAACGACCTCAGACGGAGACATGACCAAAACGAAAGTTATAGATCTCAAAAAGTTATAGGACTTGTAGTTGACAACTTTTTTATTTAAAATCATCTATCCATGAAAATTTGGTTTGATGTTGTAACATTTGGAATTCGAATTTTTCAAGTGACCTCACATGGAGAAACCACCAAAACTAAAGCCCCTCCTCTGCCAGATCTGCTCCACATGGCCCGACATCCCATCTCGTAGATGAAGTGGGACGGCGCGGGAGTGAACGCCACAATTTCTCCGGTAGGCGCGGGACGTCAGAGGGAGGGGCACATCCAGAATCCATCTTGCCTGCCGGCAAGGAGCCCCCACGACGGCCTCGGGGGCTATGCCAACTCGATAGACGGACAACCCGCCCCCCCGATCAACGGGTACCCAGGTGGCACGCCCTCAAAACCATCCAACTCCTCAGAGTTGGGTCGGGAGCCGCTGAGCGGTGGGCCCAACGAGGGCCCGTCTAAGCTCGGCGTGCTCCCCACGCCCCTACCTATGATTGCTAGGGTCGGCCCGAGAGGATCGGGTCCTATTACCAAAGCTTCCAGAAGGGCGTGGCACGCCGGGTGATCAGGTGGCCCCGAGCTAGAGCCCAGACGCTCTCGATCACAAGACCCACGGCAGGCCTAGGTCGGAAAGGAGGGTGCCCTAGGGTCCAAGGCCGGTGACTCCCGAACGAGTCCGCCGGACCCTCAGGCCTCAGACTTACGTGACATAGGCCAAAAAAGGGGTCAGCATCACCATCGCTCGGCCCTAATAGCCAAGCGCCCCCACGAAGGGCATCGCACTCTCGCCAGCGGTGGTCATCCCCCGCGATGGCTAGTTCGGTCACTAGAAGATCTAATTCAGCCCTTTGTCACCGTCATGAATCTACCAAGTGAGACCACAAAGAGCTCGGGAGCTCCTGACGAGATCCTTTCATAGGGGTGTGTTAAGCCTCGAGATCAAAGGTTTCCGACCAAGAGACCCCAGACTGACACCTCTAGGATCGCCCAGGGGATCAGGGGCTATACCCATCGAGTACGCTCCCGCCTACCCTCACGCTAAGGAGTCAGGCCGAGCCTGAGCACGCCCATTGCCTCTACTAAGGGCTCGGCCGCTCGCCCAAGCCTCAGGTTCCCGATCAACAGAAGCCTGGACTCGATCCTTGGCTCCCTCCCGGACTCTGGCGCTAGCCAAGGCCTAGGCATGAGAAGGTGCGCCCAGAGCCACTGAGGCTCGGGGAGCTCCCTAACGCTGCCTCGCGGGTGCGGCTCTATCAACCGCTCCTTCGACAAGGTCACGCACGAGGCATGATGCAAGAAGACAAACTCCTCCGCTGGCTCTATGGGCTTGGGGGTTTTCGGGCCCATTCGTCAGCCCCTCGAGGCGGCCTCCTTTGCCACAAAGAAGCCTCCAAAAGGAGCACCTGGCGGAGGCTGGTCCAAGCCAACACAGCCTAACACTACGTGTCAGAACAGAGTAGCCAGACGACGCCTAGAGCTTCTTTGGCTTCACGACATCGCCACAGTCCACATGACACTACTGCAAGACCCTCCTGGACTCCAGACCATATAGACCATAGGCTCAACTCCCCCAAACCGCCATGTACCCGACGTAGCTCGAGATATAAGGGGGAGGTCGAATCCTAAGATGGGGGAGGACGATTCCAGACAGATCATTCGAGTCTTCACCATTCCGCTCGAGCTCTGCATCGAGAGTAGAGCAACCCAGAGAGGGGCACCGAGAGCTCAACCAATCTATCGTCTTCCTCCTCTCCGGCGAGAGGGAAGGCTCCACCGGCAGCAAGGCAACCCTAGGATCAGCATCGAGTGATCCCCTACCAAATCTGTCTCTTTCTCCCTCACACTCTATTGTAACCTCCTAGATTTTGGATGCTCTTGAGTATAAGGATCATCGGCTGCTGGACGTAGGGGCACTGATTGCCTAAACTAGGATAAATTCTTGCGTCCCCTTTCTCATTCCTGTGTTCTTGACTCACCGGCACTTAACCATCGGAGACACGCACTTTGACACTACCACGAACAACAATGCCTGCCGTGGTTTCGACCTCAAGACACCGGCACTTAACTAAAGACATTCTCGAGGCACCTTTTAATCTGCATTCGTGTCTCAAACTAGGACTAAAGCCTCTAGCACTGACACGTCTTGGTACCCGTTACAACCAGGACTTGTCAATATCAAATATGTAGATTAGGTCGGCCACTAGAACTTTGGTATTAACTATGTGAACATTTGAGATCGTTTATGAATTCTAAATTTTAAATTTCAAAATCTATAACCTTCGAACGCATATTTGAGACTCTAAACATTATCAAATTTAAAACTTTTCAACTACAAAGTTGTAGATTCTTTTAAGAAATATAACTTTGTATAGATCATATCAACATCTGAGATCGTTTGATAATTTAAATTTTAAAATTCAAAATATGTGCAATTAAAACAATATTTTGGCACCCTAAACAGTTCAATTCAAAAACTTTTCAACTACATAGTCGTAGATCATACCGAGTTCTACAATTTTGATATAAAGTGTATCTTCATCCGAGTTCACATGAAAAAGTTATAAATTCTTTGTTGCTACAATTATTAACTGAGGCAGACATCTTAAGACACCCGCCTCAGTAAATCGATTTACAGAGGCGGACGCTTATAACGTGTGCCTCCAAAAA